CTCACCGCCCCGCCCCCGGGGGGCGGCGGTGAGTGCGGTGCCGGGACCCCCGCGGGGGCGCGGCCTGTGCGGGCCGGGGGGGCGCCCGGGGCCGGTCCCCGCGTCCCCCCCGCGTCAGCGCCCCGCTCTTCGCAGGGGCCTCCTCGGACCAGATCATGCAGACGGGGGCGATCCTGCTGCGGGCGTGAGTGGGGGAGCCGGGGCCCGCCGGGAGGGTGGGCTGGGGGGCGGGAGGAGCTGGGGGGGCGGGAGGAGCTGGGGGGCGAGGGGAGGGGGCGAGGGAGAGCTTGGGGGACACGGAGGGTGGGGGGGACTTGGGGGTGCAGGGGAGGCTTGAAGCTGGAGGGACTTGGGAGACGTGGGGTGCAGGGGGGACCTGGGGGGTCCTGAGAGGAGAAAGGACTGGGAGGGACACGGTGCAGGGGGCACTTGGGGTGCAGGGGGCACTTGGGGGTATTTGGGGTACAGGTGGGACATGGAGGGTCCTGAGAGGAGAAAGGACTGGGAGGGACACGGTGCAAGAGGGACTTGGGGAGGCAGAGGGACGTGGGGGGATTCAGGGTACAGGTGGGACATGGAGGGTCTCGAGAGGACACAGGAGTGGGAGGGACACAGGGTGCAGGGGGCACTCGGGGTGCAGGGGGCACTCGGGGTGCGGGGGGGACGCGGTGTGGGGGGACCTGGGGGGCCGCCGGCTCTGGAGGGGGCCCGGCGGGTGCCCAGAGTGCCGGGGGTCCCTCTGGCCGCCCCCAGGTTCGTGCGGGACCGCGTGGAGCGCTGCGGGGACCCGCAGGCCGTGGCGCTGAGCGTGGCGGAGCTGGGCGAGCCCCAGCCCAGCAGCCCCGACACCAAACGGCTCAGCGAGTGCCTGCGGCGCATCGGCGACGAGCTCGACAGCAACATGGAGCTGCAGAGGTGGGTGGGGGGCTCGGGGGGGGCCCCGCTGTCCACCCCCAAGGCGCTGACCGGCCCTGCCCCCCCAGGATGATCGAGCAGGTGGGCTGTGACGCCCCCAAAAAGCTTTTCTTCCGCGTGGCCAAGGAGATGTTCGCCGACGGCACCTTCAACTGGGGCCGCGTCGTCGCCCTCTTCTACTTCGCCTGCAAGCTGGTTCTGAAGGTGGGGGGTGGTTCTGAAGGTGGGGGGTGGCTCTGAAGGTGGGGGGGTCCCTGCCTCGCCCCCCTGACCCCCCCTGTCCCCGCAGGCGCTCTGCACCAAGGTCCCGGAGCTGGTGCAGACCATCCTGGGCTGGACCATGGAGTACCTGCGGGAGCACGTGCTGGCCTGGATCCAGGCCCAGGGCGGATGGGTGAGTCCCTGGATGCCCCCCCTGTCCCCCTGAGCCCCCGCCCTGGACAGGCCCTCCCCCGCCCCCCCCCCCGGCCCCCCCCCCCCCCCCCCCCACCGTCCCCCCCCCCCCCCCCCGGGGGCCCCGGCTGGGACCCTGCCAGATTTGGGGGGGGGTTAGCGGGGTGGGGGGCACCCCACTTCCCCTCCCACGTCCCCCCCAGCCCCGGTGCTGGGCCCCCCTGAGCAGCAGGGGGGCCACGGTCCCCGGTGACCCCCCCCGGCCTCAGAGCGGTTTG